TAGATGTAAATAAAAACTATCTAAAATTTTGGCTGAACTCCAGATACCCCCCCCCCCAGCCGGCCCCCAACTTTTGTATCTCCCTGTTCATCTACAGGTGTGTGAAGTATACCAAAATGTTTGTCTTACTCTGGCGAGGATTTTGGTATACTTACCATACCTGTAGATAAACGGGGAGCCGAGATACAAAAGTTGGTGGCCCGGCTGGGGCGGGGTATCTCGAGTCCTACAAAAATTTTTCAAAAATTTCAAATTTTTGTCGACAAAGGAGTACTATAGGTTAAATCTAGTTATGCCAGCAAAATCGGGTCCTTAGAAAACTGAGTCTTCTCGGCTAAAGTCGGGTTACGCCACGCCCTAACTTTTCAGCCATACGTCCTATTAATGCGCCGAGTATCACAAAATGTTCGCCATGGCCGAATTACTATAGCCATGTTGTTTCCTTACATCAAAAATTGTTAGAAAAATTTTTATAACAATTATAAGTCTGGGTTTTCTTTAGTTAATTTTTGCTGTTCCAAAGTGATTTTTCGTATCTCGGCTATCTTTTGACGTACAGAGCTGTCAATAATACCAAAATGTAGCTCTTGCTCTGGAGAATAAGCCTACAGTGCATTTGAGTCGAAAAAATAGCGGAAAATAAAAATATTTGAGTTTTAGGCTCCTGATACATTGAAGCATGACGGCTTAATCTTTTCAACTTTCAAAATCTTGTAAAAAATTTTCTAACAATTTTTGATGAAGAAAACAACTTGGCTATAGTAATTCGACCACGGCGAACATTTGGAGATACTCGGCGCATTAATAGGACGCATGGCTGAAAAGTTAGGGCTGGGGGGGGTAAACTAGACTCTTACCGTCTTCTCCCCCGATAATGCAAAAGATCCTATTTAGGTGATTTGAGTACATTTCGGAGGGGAGACAGGCCGTTCAATCTTGGACTTCTGGGTAGCATCACATTGTTCTGCCGATTTGCGCACTTCCTTTCCAGGCTAAAAAGCAGGCTACATCGTCCGATTAGTCTCGTCGAGCGGTAAGACTCCAGATACCCACCCCCGCCCCGCGGCCGGTCCACAACTTTTTTATCTCGGCCGCCTGTTGATCTACAAGTATGTAATGTATACCAAAATGTTCTTCTTGCTCTGACGAGCATTTTGGTATACTTTACACACCGCAAAACAAGCAGGGAGCCGACATACAAAAGTTGGGGGCGGCCTGGGGGGTTATCTGGAGTTCAGCCGCGAAAGAAGCTTTTATCTTATAAGGCTCAAGCTCCCCATACCTTGTCTCGATTCTCGTTGTTCGCCTCCGGCTCGTCGATCTTTTTCGGCGACGCTATCTAAATAACGTAAGGATTAAGCGCAGTTTACCCCCCCAGCCCTAACTTTTCAGCCATACGTCCTATTAATGCGCCGAGTATCTCAAAATGTTCGCCGTGGTCGAATTATTTTAAAGTTGTTTTCTTGCGGCAAAAATTGCTAAAAAAATTTTTACAAGATTTTGAAAGTTGAAAAGATTAAGCCGCTATGCTTCGATGTACTAGGAGTCTACAACTCAAATATTTTTTATTTTCCGTTATTTTTCCACTCAAACGTACTGTAGGCTTATTCTCCAGAGCAAGAGCTACATTTTGGTACTATTGACAGCTCTGGACGTCAAAAGATAGCCGAGATACGAAAAATCACTTTGGAACAGCAAAAATTAACTAAAGAAAACCCGGACTTATAATTGTTATAAAAATTTTTCTAACCATTTTTGATGTAAGGAAACAACTTTTTTATAGTAATTCGACCACGGGGAACATTTTGAGATACTCGGCGCATTAATAGGACGTATGGCTGAAAAGTTACGGCTGGGGGGTAAGCTCACCTCTAACCCAACGTAAATTCGGAATCGCACCAGATTTAAAAACATACTTTACACACTTTTAGGCCAATGGGAAGCTGAGATATAAACATGTGTAGATACCCGGAGTCCTACCCCACCATTCCATACCTTGTATCGATTCTTGTCGATATTCTTGAGGTCGGGCTGCCCTATCTAAGCCACTTCGGTGTTCACGGACCGTCGAGAACGTACCCGTTTCAACCAGCTTTCGATGGCGACAGTAGCTTTGGCCTTTTCTGCTTCCTCCTTCTTCTTCTCTCTCTTCATTTGCTTGATTTTCTCTTTGGATGGCTTCCCATTGCACTTCAGTGAATCCCGGGGTGCCGGTTGCTTTTCGAAGGTCTTGGCTGGGGTGGAGAACGTTGGCGGGAGAATCTCGATTCCAGGCGAGCTGTAAAAAATCCGGTACTGGACTACTAGCGGGGGGGCAGGAAAAACTCATTTTTCTTTTTCTCGTAGATATGTGGGTAATATATAATGTCCTTTTATAATGTTCTTAGTTTTTTTACTATTTAAATTTAGAAAAATTTGAAGGTTTTGGCAATTTTTCATACATTTTGGACCAAAAAATCAGAAATTTCGAGCATTTTTATTAATTAAATTATTAATATCTAAACACCATTTATGATTATAAAAAGGAGCGAGATGCCGTTATATGGCAGTAATGGATTACTGGGAAAAAGCTACTTCTGCCAACACCCCCCCCCCCCCAGCCCGGACCCCACCTACCGTATCTCGGCTTCCTGTTCATTTACAGGTATGGAAAGTATACGAAACTGTTCGTCTTGCACTGGCGAGTATCTTGGTATACTTTACACACCTGTAGACGAACAGGGAGCCGAGTTACAAAAGTTGCAAAAAAAGGTAAACTGCACTCTAACCCAGTCTAGTATCAAGGAAGTTAAAATCGGCAAAGATCCAGGTAAGACTCCAGATAACCCCTCCCCAGCCGGCACTCATCTTTAGTATCTGGTTCATCTACAGGTGTGTAAAGTATACCAAAATACTCGCCACAGCAAGACGAACATTTTGGTATACTTTACACACCTGTAGATGAACAGGGAGCCGAGATACGGTAGGTGGGGGTCGGCTGGGGGGTTAGGTTATCTGGAGTTTAGCCAAGATCCACTCAAAAAAATATACCGATTAGAGCCGCGATTTGGCACGACCACCCCCGAATTCCATGACATCTCAAAAAGATGTGATTGGAAATGAGGGTAATATTAGAGAAGGGTAGTAGAGGGAGGGCTGGAGGGTGGAGGGAGGCCCGTATTAATCCCGGCACCCTGATTTTTACGCATTGCGCCATGTTTATTACCCCAGGATGCAAATAGGATATTTAAATAATTTTTAATTACGATCATACGGTATTTAGATCAAGTCAAAATACATTAATTTTTTTCAGAAACCAGGGAGCCCTCCGCCCGCTCGATTCCGGCTTTGGGGCCAGTGCTGGAGGCTTCGGATCGGGTAGGTTTTGCTTTAAAGGGACTGTGAAGCAGACATAAATTATAGTCCACTTAAAGTCAACAAAATCGATAAAAATACCTTGCCCGGCCCTTAAAAACTTTCAACTTCAGGGGCCTCCCACGGGTCCCACGGCGGTCAGGGGTACGGTAACCACGGATCTGGCGGCGCCCCCTTCGGAGGGTCTCCCTACGGCGGTGGAGGTTACGGTGGCGGGGCTGGAGCTGGAGCCAATTCTGGATACGGTGGCGGTGGCGCCGGAGCTGGCGCCGGTTCTGGAAGGCGAGCCCAATTTGGTGGGGCGTTTTCTGAAGAAACCTGAACTTTAAGTCTTAAGCCCCGGATGTCAACTACAATGATCAGAGCTACATTCAACGAGGCGGAGCTGGGCAGCCGTCGCCCTTCCAGAAAGCTAGATCGTTGTCGCCAGGTAATGGCTTGGCCGTAGGCTTAGGCTTAGGCACTGGCTTCGGCGCAGGACTAGGCTTAGCTTAAGCTTAGCTTAGACAGCTTAGGCTTAGCTTAGGCTTGGCTTACAAGGAGTCGTTTTTAGGTGATATTGGAGTTTTTGAACGAGACCTCGCTAGTTCGATAGAGAAAAAAATTCTGAACAAGATGTCGTTTTCCAAATCTGCTAACCGTGTACGCTGTTCAATAAAAATTAATTTGAAAATCATTAATCTAACCATCATTTTCCGCCTGTTCCGCAGATTCTGCGCTCTGGGTGCGCGTCAACATAGCCCCCTTTAGGCCTCCCTCCAGCCATGACCAGCTGGCCTATTGGTAGTGCGCTTGCTTCATAAGTTTTTGTCTTTTTTTTTGCCAGCGGGTTCGACTCCTCGCTAGTAAAACTCTTTTGCTTTTTGCTCGATAATGCCAAATTCGATTTCAATGGCACGCAAAACCAAAAAGCAAAACAATAAATCACAATAAGTTCCGAACCCTGGGCATAATTTTGCAAAAGTTTGATAGGCGCCGGCACTATCCACTAGGACACGATCTCATGCGGATGCTGGATCGCGCTATGGGCTATGTCCCCGGCCTGATCCATGGGTCGCAGCCTGACGTCCAGAAATTTTTTCATTAAAATTAATTTTTATTGAATACAATACACGGTTAGCAGATTTGGAAAACGACATCTTGTTCAGAATTTTTTTCTCTATCGAACTAGCTAGGTCTCGTTGAAAAACTCCAATATCACCCAAAAACGACTCCTTGTTAGGCTTGGCCTCATATACAGGGTGTCCCAAAAAAAAAGACCGCCCCAAAAATTTGAGCCAGAGGACATCTACGGAGCTGAAAATTTGCACAGAGGTAGCGAAGCCAATTTCCCATGTATATGGAAAGTTTGAGCCATATCGGCCGACGGGTTTTAAAGTTATAGCGAAAATACTTTTCATTTTTAGTTTGATATGGGGATTCCTGCAATTTGCATAAAAAAATGCGGTATTCTTGAATTTACGAGTCGATTTTGCATAAATTTTGCCAAAAGATGCCATTCTCTTGCTGGAGCATGGCGCGAACGATTGCGTATGAAGAGTAAAAAGAGTGTGAAAACAACTGTTTCATCGATCCAAACCACGCCTTATTGTGCATTTTGGCAATCTGCTTCGCGCTAGCCCCGAAACAGAGTTCGATGAGCTTTTAAAGAGATGAGGACGGCATCTGTTGAACCCCCCTTGGGGAGGGGGGGTTCAACAGGTCCCAGCGCGACCGGCGACGAGAGAGGGCGCCCAGGGGCGAGGCGCAGAGACATTTTCTTTCCCGCGCGTAATCGATTGACTTATGCCGCCCCTATCCCTTTAAGTGGTGCTTAGGTTTAGATTTGGGCTTGGGTTTAAGTCAGTCCAAAGTCTAAGCGAAGTTCAGGCGCTGAACGATAGTTTCAACCAATGTATCTTGTACTCAGCGGTCTTGCTGTTCGTTTTCACGCTGCATGAGCAATCGTTTTCCAAAAGCTCTAGCAAGAGAATGGCATTTTTTGGCAAAATTTATGCAAAATCGGCTCGTAAATGCAAGAATAACGCATATTTTTTATGCAAATTGCAGGAATCCCCATATTAAATTAAAAATGAAAAGTATTTTCGCTATAACTTTAAAACCCGTCGGCCGATATGGCTCAAACTTTCCATATACATGGGAAATTGGCTTCGCTACCTCTGTGCAAATTTTCAGCTCCGTATTTGCCCTCTGGCTCAAATTTTTGGGGGGGTCTTTTTTTTTGGACACCCTGTATGTCTTCTTTGGATTAGGCTTGGACACTTTATAATTTTTTGCAGCCTCCAAACAGCGCTACCAAGCCCCATCGTCGAGGACACGACGCGAACTGTCGCCCGGCGCATCGGTTCATCATTTGCAGGTAGTACGGTGACTGGGGCACCATTTAGGTGGGATCTTTAAGCTACGTTTGTATTCCAGTATAACTCGCCGATGAACCTGTACTCGACGGAGTCGGCCGCCGAGCAGTACAACCAGCAGACTGGACTGCCGGTTGGGTGAGTGTAGAGCGAGAAAGAGAGAGAGAGAGAAAGAAAGAGAGAGAGAGAGAGAGAGAGAGAGAGAGAGAGGGAGAGCGAGAGCGTGAGGGTGAGACAGAGAGCGGCCTCTTTACCCACTCATTTCCAGCCCCGTTCCTCGTGCCAATTCACCCTACCTGAATTCTGCCACCCGCCAGGCTATCGCTGAGGAAGAGGGAGCGTAAGTAAATGTTTCCTACCGTAACCAGGTAGCGTAACGTATGGTAACGTAACGTAGCGGAATGTCACGCAGAGCGGCGCAACGTGGCTTAAAGTCACGTAAAAATGGAGTGTAACGTAGTTAGCGTTGCGTTTACGGACCGAGCGCAGCATACCGTAGCTGAGCGTAAGTATTGTAGCGTAGCGGAGCGCAACGTAATGTCGCGTAGCATAGCGCAACGTAGCGGAATGAAGCGTCACGTAGTGTAGCGTCACTTAACGTAGCGTAACGCCACTAATGTAACGTGCGTAGCGTAACCTCACGTAACGCCGCGTCAATGTCGCGTAACGTACGGAAACACAACGTGACGTAGCATAACGCGACGTAACGTAGCATGCCATAGCGTAGTGCAAAGTAACGTAGCGTAACATACCATAGCGTATCCCCATCCAATCCCCACCGTAACCCTCCCATTTCAGTCGTTTCCTCCGCGGCACCTCCCCGACCTGCTCGCCGAGCTTCAAACGCATCAGCAGCGCCGTCGGCACCCCCGTCAACTAGGCTAGGGTTACGGTAGCCAGGCCACGGTTTGGAAAACCAGAGTTTTCCGTCATTCACCCCGATTCGCTAGTGTTTGCCATCTTTTTGGTAAAAACGCACGGATTTTTGGTAAAGTTCGGATTTGCAGATTTCTATAAACCGCCCAGAGTACCGTATGCCTCTGACAAAAAACCCAAATCTAAAAATCAAAAAGCATAAAAATTACAAAAATAACTTTTTATTTTGTTTTTAAGCGCCGAAATAATCAGATTTTTCGCCCCTTGCGTCTTCTTCGTCATTTTTGTGATATTCCGCTAGTGTACCCCTTCCAGTGCAATACCGTAGAGCTTTGTAGTGTTTGCGAAAAATTCGTATTACTGTAGCAATAAAGTTTTCAAAGTTTATGCTACGAATACCCGCGAAATATCGTAATTACAATTAAAAAAAAATAAAAATACATATTATTACCGGGACGGGAAAGGTTTGACTATGGAATTTGTAAGGAGTTTTGTATACCTGCTGTTAATATATATAGTGTATTTTTATACTGTTTTTAGTAGTTTTTGATTTCTAAAAGGTTCAGTTAAATACTTTAAGTATTTTTAAAAATGGTATAAATTTTATTTTTTTTGGTTTTTAATACAGTTTGAGCAAAAAGTAAAAAATTTCTATGAGTCTTTTACATCTAAAAACTGTGTAAAATGCTATAAAATAGTTCATAATTTGTTAAAGGACCATGCCGCATTATTGAGAAAGATTGGTTTCCCCCCGCTACCAGACCAGTACCAAAAAATCCATAGTCAAGCCTTGCACGTTCCTTTAAGCCACAAAACTATGAGGTGGAAGCAATTCTGCTAGTAGCAATCGACACCCGCACTTCAATATGTTCACCCCGGGACCCGCCGGGGCGATCCGGGACCCGGAAAACGCCAAATATTTTGTTGCGAAGGATTCGGTTGGAGAGGAGGAGGGTGTAGGGCTGGATCAGAGACAACAAGGCACTCCACAGGACGTACCACGCTCGCAACGTATCTTGGAAGACCTTGCCCTGAAAAAAAGCCAGATTCTTGCGAAACTTCTACTGCTCCCCTGCCTTTATCTTTTTTTAAAGGACCAGGGAAGGCAAAATAGGGATGCTGCGGACGTCAGCTTCTTCAAAAAACGTGGCTGTCCTACCTGCTTGATGCTTTAAAGGGGCCGGGAATAAAAAAAAGAGGGAACGAGTGAAAGAGAGAGAGAGAGAGAGAGAGAGAGAGAAAGAGAGAGAGAGAGAGAGAGAGAGAGAGAGAGAGAGAGAGAGAGAGAGAGAGAGAAAGAAAGCGAGAGGGAGAGACTCAGAGAGCGAGAGAGCGAGAGAGAGCCTGAGAGCGCGAAAGTGGTAGAGAGAGAACGAGATAGAACGAGAAGAGAGTGAGAGAGAGAGAGAGAGAGCGAGCGAGAGACACAAAGACACCGTACCGCATTCCAAAACGTCGTCGTCCACATAATGATAAAATGGGCGGCCAGCAGAAAGAAGGCCATTCCCAGGGCCAATACTTGTATCGTCAGCCTCAACTCTGTCGACATTTGGAGGCTTCTTTTTCTGGAATTTTCATGTTTTGAAACGCGACGCCAAGACGTTACGTCAACGTCTCTCTCTCTCTCTCTCTCTCTCTCTCTCTCTCTCTCTCTCTCTCTCTCTCTCTCTTCTCTCTCTCTCTCTTTCTCTCTCTCTTTTCGTACTTTGCCGAAAAGTGCTCTCCTCTGGAGAGTACAGTAATAATGGCCGCATAGCAGAAAACACAAAATGCCGTCGCGATCAAGCAGATGACGGCCGCCTGCATTGTATTTGCCTGAAAGCGTGGAAAGTAAAGTTTAAAAACCGCTGAATTCATTGAATACCAAAGCTGGGGTAGTTTTCAGCTTTTAAAACCCTACCGCCAGCGGCAGATGGACTACCACCACATCAATCATATCGGGCAACATGTTGAATACGGCTCTCTGAAGGAATAGAGGTGTTGAAACGAGACAACCCAATCCATAATGCACTCCGCATACCGTAACCATAGGTAGGTCAGCCATCGACTGAAATGTATTCATGGAAGAGAGAGCGCGAGAGAGAGAGAGTGAGAGAGAGAGAGAGAGAGAGAGAGAGAGAGAGACATACCTTGTAGAGACGGCTTGTCGGTTTGCAAATAGCGATACAGCGATGGAGAGTGATGAGAGAGACTCCAACAAGACGGAGGTATAGACATACATAGATATAGGTATAACACCATGAAGGTAAATAGGTGTCTCTAGGAATTACAGTATTCTAAAGGGGCGGTGACAGGAATCGACGCGCTTCCAAAAGGTTTAAAGGGACCAGGACAGCTGGGTGGGAGATGGCAAGCGAGCAGAGATCTTTTGGGAACTGGTGATCGAGACGGAAATGCTGTTTTAAAGGGACAGCTAGGAGGGGCGAAGGCAATCGAGCAGAAATATTTTGAGAACGGCATCCAGACGAAATTCTGTTTTAAAGGGAAAGCGACAGCAAGTCCGAAAGCTGCAGGGCAAACTAGCAGAGATTTTTCATCCTTTTGTCCGTTACAAGGAAACTAGGAATTTTAAAGGCCGATTGAAGCCTCAACTCACCGAAACAACCAATAAAAATCCATCAAGAATTGAAAACTACGCCCATATGTAAAGAGTAAATAATTTATCATGGCAAAGAGGTCGAAAAATCCCTAAAAATCATCGAGTTCTCGAACGATAGTGGAAGGTTTACGGTATTAACCAGGTTTATACGATCGTAATTCTTACCTGCGACAACGTAAGAGCGTAAAATAGCGTGGAGAACTGCCCTTTTCTCCGCCGTTCCGCTACAATAATCCAGAGTATCGACGCGTAGAGGGGCATGGATATGGCCGCCAAGACGAGGCTCGCACCTGTCGGGATGTTGCTAAACGACAAAACAAATAAAAGATAGGTATTTAAATACGTGTCTACGGTTACAGTAACCAAATTTTGCACGCAGAAACTAAAGATAATAAAAATATACAAACGCTAAAAAAAACAAAAATATTATGAAAAAATTTAAGACCAAAAACTAAAGCTAAATTATTTTGTTGGCAAACTTACATCATTTTAATTTAGTTTGTCATGGATCTGGAATTCAGGCTTGAAAGCGAGAGAGAAAGGGAGAGAGCGAGTGGGAGAGAGAGAGAAAGCAAGAGATATAGAGAAAGTGAGAGAGAGACCGAGAGAGATATAAAAACTCACGCAAACGGATCCATAGACATCTTGTGCCAATACAAGCTTTGAAACTTGTTTTTAGCGCCGCGATACCTGAAAAAAAAAACCACGATTAAACACGTTTTCGGCAAAAAAAATGTTGAAAACAATTCTGGTCTCCTTGAATTCGAAAACAAGCACTTCGTGCTGTTTTAAGCCCTGTAAAGGGTGTCATTTCGAAAAATAAGGAAATAATTGAGGGGTTGTTTGGTCGAGAACTCTCGTCAACCCACGCCTTCCCTGGGGACCTTTCGATGACTTTTCCGTGAGTTTTGTGCCAACTTAATTCGCAGGAAAGGAAGAAGATTACGTTTCGTTCGGTTAGTCAGCTTCTGCTACGCTGGCCAGGCCGCGTCGCGGCCTGGTATAACCGCGACGCAACGCCGCACCGCCGCAACGCGACGATGCCGCATTAATGGGTTCTCTCGCGATAGTATGTTTTTAAAAAAGACAATAGACAAAAAACTATAAAAATCCAGTCAAAAAATAAAAAAAAGGCTTAATCTGGGACATTGGAGGTTCCTAAAGAACCGCTGCTAGCCTGCCCTATCCTAAAGGATCCCTGCTAGCCTCTTTTTCCCAAAGAAGCTCTGCTAGCCTCTCTTTCCTAAAAAAACTCTGCTAGCCTCTCTTTCCTGAAGCATATCTGCTAGTAACTTTTCCTAAAGAAATTCTGCTAGTATGGTTCTTCCTCAAGAATCTCTGCTAATATCTTTTTCCTAAAGATACTCAGCTATAACCCGGTTGTTTTCTAAATTCTGGCTGATAACCCTTTTCCTAAAGCATCAACGCTAGCCTGCCTTTTCCTCAAGAATCACTGCCAGGACACCCGGAATCTAATTCCAGCATTAGGACCCAATAAGATTGCATTTGCACCCCCCAATAAACCCCCAACATCATTGCCCAATCATCCCCTCCACCCAGCTACACCCCACTCCAAATTACCACCCCAAAATATGTTTATGGCCTCGGCAGAGCAGATTTGCGGGTGTCCGGAATGGGGGAATCGAAATTAATAGCCCCCTTGGGCCAAGGACCCTAATTGTTTCGGCAACGATCAAAAATTCCCACGCGATACCCCCATTCGGAGGTGGAATTTGCAATATTGGGGGCACGTTTTAAATTTTTTATACCCAGTTTTTGGCGCGTGTCTACACCCTGTTGCGTGATGCATCTGGGAATTTAAAGTAACGGGTATCCCCAAAAATACCTCCATTCTAAAACGTGCCGAGGTAAGTACAAGGCGGGGGTCCATGAAACGGCGTGGGGAAATGGGGGCCAAGTTCCCAAAGTTGCAAAAATAAAGCGCAAAGACCGTACCCCGCGACAGAGGAGAGAGTGAAAGAGAGAGAGAGAGAGAGAGAGAGAGAGAGAGAGAGAAAGAGAGAGAGAGAGAGACGGAGAGAGAGCGAAAGAGAGAGAGAAAGAGGGAGAGAGAATGGGATAGAGTAGAGAGCGAGGAAGTGAGACAGAGAGAGAGTAGAGAGCGAGAGAGTGCGAGAGAGTGAGAGAGAAAGAGACAGAGAGAGTAGAGAGCGAGAGAGAGCGAGAGAGTGAGAGAGAAAAAGCTAGAGAAAAAGAGAGAGGGGGAGAGATAGCGATAGAGAGAGAGAGAGAAGCAACAGTTCGAAAAAGGCTACGCTGATGCGAAATTCGTCGAAATGGCAAATTAAGGTGAGAAGTTGGCGTTGAAGAACGAGACTTATGTTAGCAAAA